ATGTTAGTCGCATAGTCGCCTGCGAACAGGTTACGAGGATCCTCTAGAGCAAGGGTCGGCAACTGGCGGACCGCGGTCCAGGTCCGGACCACGAAAGGTAAAATATTGGACCGCCAAAAATTTTTTGAAAGTATAAATTACTCAAATAAATTATTTAAAAAATGTTTTTTACGTTTAAGTGCCAATCTTATCATTTTTTCTAGTATTTTACAATTGTGTGAGTGTGTCAGTTATTAATGGTTAGTAAGTAAATTAAATTTGAGTCCAAATTAAAATAAAAAAATATTAAATATGAATTTTTTTTCTGGACCTCGTTAAAAATTTTCAAAAGTATCCGGACCCCATCTAAAATTACTTGCCGACCCCTGCTCTAAAGCATACCTACTACAAAAAAGGCATACTTGTTGAAATTCGGTAGCATGTATACCATTTGAAAATGAAGTTGCATAGAAGAAAATAGGGGACAATTGTAGCATCTACTGTATTATTTCGAATTTTGCTCACTTATTCACTTGTGCAGCTGTTTTGTTCTGTATGTCTCCGAGTGTGTTTCCTAATATTTTTCTGTTCTTATCACTTTTTTTAAGCATTCATGTCCATCAACAATTCAGTCCATTCAACAACTGTTTATTTTAGTAATGGTAGTGTACAAAATCTAAAATTAGTTATTAATAGATAATTAATTACCATAATCCGTTTATTTTGAATTACTTTATTAAATGTTAGTTTACAACAGGCTGAAACTTTATAATAATTAAATTTAATTTTTTTTTTTTTAGTTAAGGTAAAGGAAGGACTAATAGACACCTCCCAGTAATAGACACATATGCTGTTCTCTCTTCAGTATTGCATTAAATTTAAGAGGTGTAGGCGTGCTAGAGTGAAAACAAAATGAAATTTGTGTTATATAGTGATTATTTAAGATAACTGTCATGTTTGTTCTATTTTTTGAAAATAAATTTGAAACATTCGGCACTTTATATACAACTGAAGAGTATCTGTCTTCTTAACTTTGAGGTTAAGAACTGCAGGTAAGAAATCTTGATCATTTTTATTAAACTTGTAGTAATATATTATGTTTATTTGGTTGTAGTATATTTATAAAAACTACATTATTATCGATTTCAATCAATTTTATTGTATTTTAAGGGGATGTCAATTACTACTACTTCTAACGTCCTATAAGTCCCACTTAATAACATGTATGTCAATGACTGGGTCTATGCTTATAAGATTCATTTTGTCTGAATGCCGTTAGTTATTTACAGGAGAAGCTTAACGAAAATGATCTTTTTTCAGTCATCTAATCTAGAATGTGAAGAGTAGTAATTGACATACCATTTTAAATTAACCTGACCTGTTTGTACCATGTCCATTACTGGTACCAGTGCATGTCAATTATTGGTTTCACCTATTTTATTACCAAAATTACAGAAAAAGTCCCTTCTGTTGCTACTTCCTCCCAGTGGAAAGAATATTATAAGAAGGAAGAAAAGAAGAATGCTAAGTTATTAGAAGTTGAAGAAAGGAAAAGAATTCGAGCAGAGAAAAAAGCAACCGCATTACAGAACTCAAAAAAGAAACGAATAGAGAGAAAAAACAAAGTAGCTATTTCTTCTAAAGAATCTGTAACAGAGTGCGAATCTTCGTCATCAGATATTTCAGATGATTTTGAAGTATCTAAAAAAAACAGTTGCTGTTAACAGTTATGTAATTGTGTGTTACGATAATCTATACTATCCTGGACGAGTAATTGAGATTGACGAAGACGAGTTTTACGTTGATGTAATGAAAGCAAGTGGTCAAGGATGGAAATGGCCATCCCCAAAAGACACTATAAGGTACAATGCTAATGATGTACTGCGAGTGATTAAAACTCCCCAAGAAATCAGCAAAAGAGGAATATATAAAGTTCCAGAAATTAAAAGATATAAACAAATATAACAATATTTTAGCTACACATTTAGGTATATTTTTTTAAATAAAATAAATGTATGTAACTATTTCACTGTCAATTATTATTCCACCTTAAGTCAAAGACTGGTTCATTCTCAAAACGAACATGTCAATTACTGGGGGTTTTGGTAAATTTGAAATAAAAGTATTATTAAATAAATTATAAACTTAAGTATCTTAAATTATTTTTATTGGTTACTTAGATTGGTATATCTAGTATTCAGTAAAACCTTCAAATGTCCTAATATTTTATTCTGAATTAAAAGAAAGCTCTACTCAAATGAGATTATTC